TCTGGTGCATGGAGCGTATGAAAAACCATCTTCCGCAGTTGCTCAGTCTCTGAACAAGAGCAAGCCTAACCTGCCATTTTTCTGTCTTGGCTCTAATAGAAGAGTACCAGAAACATGAACTTTGACGGAACTGTATTCAGAGTTTTTCCTTAACTTATCGAATCAGAAAGAAACTATCGGCTAGTCATAAAGGGATATATAACATATGTTTGACAAAAAAAATGAGCCTAAACAAACTTCTGGTTTATTTTATTTCGTTAAGAACTATTTAACCGAAAGGTTAACTTGAAAAAATATTGGAAATGATTTATAATTTATGAAATCGTGTCGACTTTTTTCTCTTTTTGTTTGTTTGTTTGTTTCTTTTTTTGCTCTTAGACTTCTTTCGTCTCCGGTATAAATCTCTCCAAAAAAGAACTTAGAAAACATTGCAGCAAAGATAATGAGAGAAGTTCTTGATCTTAACAGGCAAAACAAATGCAAGCGTTTGCTGTTTTGTTTATTGACCACAGATATGCAAAGGCTTTGCTTGCTGTGGCATTACTGAAAAACCCTGCCCTTCTTAAGCACACCGCACGTTAATAATGCAACATTTCTAAGGATTAATTTTGTTACGCTGAAATTTATTTGAATTTCCTTAAACATTTTTAAAAAGAATAAATACGTAATAGATATCAATATCGGCGCTTATTTATTGTTTTTAAGTATACAGAAAGAATAATATTTTTTGTATTGAACTCAACTTATCGCTGCATGACTTTCCACGAGTTTTACTCTCAAATTTGTTAATTTCTTTCCTTAATTAGCCAAGATACTGGTTTTTAAGTATACTGCACAGTCCTTTTTGAAAGTGTTTTTATTCGATAGCTATCGCGGGCAGTATCGTTTGAATAGAGTTTATTTGTGATTACATTGTGTTCGAATACTAGGAATGAAGGAAGGGAGAGAGCTTCATCATTAAAGATTCATTTTATATTTTACTGTATTTGAATGACAATCAACTAGTAATAACCAAAGGTTACAAAGTGCGGGTGACAACGATTGAAGGTAAAAACGCTTTTGCTCCGACGCTTTGCTTTGCGCAAGTTTCACGTGATAGTCGGTCAAAACACACGCCCTGATCAGATCACGAGTGATAGAAGGTCCAATCACGCGTGATCAAATTGCGTTCTGTTCATTCCATTAATTCTTAGTGCAAGTCCAAACGAATGCTGGCTACAGACATACGACGCATGCTTAATAACAGCCTGGAGATTAAGATTGCGGGCTCGTCTTGTCGCCCGCAATTAACGTGTGGGACTGGGAAAGTTACATAGTAAAGTTCTATTAAACGCATTTAATTGATCAGAAGTTTTCCACTGAATATACATATTTCGTTTTGTCCATATTTGAACTCTCTAGTACTCTGATGCCCGTTTTGGATTAAGAGTTGTATGTAAACTTCTTTTAAACTTCAGAGATTAGGATATTTCTGATGCAGGAGTGTTAATGGCATCGTTCTTTGAGTTCTGCTTCCGAAATAAGTGGCATCGAACGCGCTTTACTAAATTTTTGTATATCAGTAGTCAATTCGGAATTTGCAAAAGAAGAACCAAACACAGCCGTCTTAAAGATTTTGAGACTAGAGGGAGGGAGTTTTCAAATTTCAATCCCTTTAAATCTACTTGCGGTGGACTGAGTGTTTAAGAAATTCTTTTTTTTTCTTTTTTTCTCTTCGATTACCACATTTGGTTAAAAGACAAGTGACGGTCAAGTGTTTTTTTTCAGTGCCCCTTGCTAGTGGTATTAAGAGGGTCTGGATGGGGTTAAGTGACAACTGACAAATGGCCAAAATTTTAACTGACAACTGACGAAGAACCTGACTGTCCCTTATTTTCTAAAAACCCGTTTTACGGCCTTAAATAGCATTGTTCCACTCTTTTTGTCAGACAATGTGATCAAATGTGCGTTTTTGGGGGTAATCTTAGCAGCAAGACACTTAAGTGTCATATTTCGTTAATGATTTACTGTAAAACCCCTGTCATGTACCATCTGTGGTAAAAATGACCTATGATCTCACATTTACGCTCGTCTGAGAACGCGCCAGCATACGATGGCTGCTAATGAGGGCGTTACAAAAGCAATTGCAAGTCTTTTCCGAGATGATTCAGATACTGTCTTTCTTTCGATCTACGTCCCAATAATATATTCTGAAGGTACAAATTTTGATTAGCATAATGGTTGGAAACGTTGGACTCTGGGCCAGCAAAAACGTTGGAGTGGAGGGGAGTAACACAAGACTTGAGAAATGGAGGGCCACTTGAAATGCTAACAATAGCAAAACTGATGAAAATCAAGGTACTATTGCATCAGTTTTGGAATTTAATCATCAATTTTAATTACATTATATGTGTCTTTAAAGGTAAATCTCGCATCAAAAATACACAAATAAGTTTCGAAGTTAATCATTAAAAATCATTTAACTGACAACTCATAAAAAGCCTTAAATTTAACTGACAACTGACAAATGGCCAAAATTTTAACTGACAACTGACATTTGTATCGCCTCATCGAGACCCTCTATTAATGAAGGTATGTGCTTCTTGGCGAAGAGCCACTGCGCGTATGGCTATGAAAATCTCTCTTAAATTGATTCATCAGGCCATTCTTCTCACTTACGTAATTGAAGCAGTCTCACAAGATAAATAAGTTGAGCATGTGCGAGCGCTGTTGTCAGCGGAGGGAGCTTTTAGTTGACCTGACTAATTAGATCCGATTTTTATCTTTTAGACATTCTTAGTCATGTTTTGCTTTGTAAATTCTTGCCAGTTTTTTGTTCTTATCGTATCTTCATTATTTGTAATACGCATATGAATATATTTGTATTGTACATGGTTGCGTAATATGTTTTATTTTTGGCGGTGATTTCTGGTAGGTAGAAAATTATTTTCATGCTGAATTTGCAACAGAATCGTAAAAATGCACTTGACAAAATCCCTGAAGTGTTCCTAAATTGGAAATAAATTTTCCACTAAGTGACTTTTTAATTTACAAAAAGGTACTTTTTCTCATTTTTATCCGACTGATTTGGTAAATACTAAAACAACTTCCACTTCGGGGGATAGTTGTATATTATGGGAACGTCCAAACTGAATATTTAATTGAGTATATTTTACACTATATTTATCCCAGATTGGGGTATCTTGTATGAGAGATCTCATGAGTATTATGGCTAACTTTCTCGTAGTAGGATAACTGCATATTTCTTAATATACACGTCCTACCTAACTTGGTCGACCCAAAATACTACGATGAGCATCTTATTTCTAAACTGATTTTTCGCTGTACACGTTAAAAGCAAGAACAAATGAAATCTATGAACTCTCATAAAACTGAAAGTCAATTATTTAATACCTATTCTATCTGGAAAAGTTCACTTGATAACAACTCATCTCATGGTCCAAGATCACACGGTCGAGAACGATTGGTTGTACAGCGCATTGTTAAAGGAGCTTATGTCACGTATCTGCTATCCTGCTTTTTGAAAGCTTAAAGGCGTGTTTGCATCTACAAAAAGTTCCAGAAATAATGGTCCAGTTTTGTTATTTGAGACTATATTTGCATTGAAACTGTTCCCTGTCGTCTGTTGCTATGGATAGCAACCAGTTAAACTGGAGTGAAAGATGATAGCACTTAATCCTGTCGCAGGAAAGCGACGCAGTGGGGATTCACTATGGTGAAGACAATTCCAAATGTACATCGGAACTCCATCTATTTCTTTCGCTGGCCTGCAATGGATTCAAGACAGCAACAACCAAGTTATTATCGGCTTCACTTCTTTGTAAAGGTTGGGTGGGCGCCTAATCCCTTACATAAGCTCTATAGTTACCGTAAACCCTCTATTAAGCCCCCGGTGGGTTATTTATTTCAAACACATATGAGGGAGGGGGGCCTACATATTTTAGCAAAGACGATGGTATCAGTTCTCCATAAAGAACTGTAACTGCAAAGTGTAAAAGCTCAAGTACAATGGTTGTAGGTCATGCAGCCGAGGATCAAAAACAAAGCTGAAAGTTCAGCTGGTGAAAATAACTATCGTGGACCAGTCCACATGAAGTGTTACAGTTGTCGTTCATAAATATAGTATATCGTAAATTTGTGAATAATAATAAGAGGAGGGGAGGGGAGTGGAAGAGGGGCTTAAAAGAGAAGGGGGCTTATTAGATGGGGAGCTTATTTAAGAGAGGGGGGGCTTAATAGAGGATTTACAGTACGGGTGGCCCAAGCAAAATGGATTCTTTTGACCTGAAATTGGGTATAGACTCTGGGCCCGAAATCAGTTGAGCCTAAAATTTGTGCTCCCTGGAAGAAAGGCCTGGAATTGGGTATGTTTTTATTCCGATTTGACTTTTGAGAGAAGCGGTTTAAGTCTCAGAAGGAAAAAACAGTTTACCAAATTTTCTTAGAGGAGTACCCCACAGGAGGCGGGAATTTGCCCTGTTCACAATACTCTTTCTTCCTGTAGGTGCATTAATTTTTATACCGTGAATAATTCTTTAACTGAACATGAAAAGAAATGCTTATTAGTGGTCGAAAACAAGTGAAGACAGTTATGGTGATAGACTCTGAAAAGTTAACGGCTTAGAGATGAAATCTCTTAAGCTTGATTTACTAACTGTATTTTATATATTTTCTTGATTCTCTTTTAATCTATGAATGAAAGACTCAGGTGTGAAAATTCAAATGAAGCTACATCTTCGTTTGCCATTTTGTTATTTATTACATCAGTTGTACAAAGTGTTATTCTTATTCTGTTGATCTGCGGATTAAATGACTACTTTTCTGTCTTTTTGTTTGTTTCTCAATCGTACTCATTGCCGAAAGTGAAAGGCTTTCCGGTCTCCAAACAATTAGGTGCAAGAAATCTAAGAGCGGAGCCAAAGATAAAACCCCTTTCATTTCTCCAGTCTACGAACATGTGATTATTTTTCTATCTTATCTTACGGAGAGGATCTCACCTTTCATTGACCGAAATTCAATGTCACGTCATCACCGATCAGCACGAATGGAGCCCAGTGCTTCACGGCATTGAATTTTTCCGACTCCCTCATCCATTTCATGGCCTGTTGAAGGGACTTACTTGCACTTTGCTCTGCTACTAAATGTTCGTAAAAGTGTTTCATAAACGCAAGAGTGGCTTCGTCATCAATCGCCCACAGTGTGGCAATAACAGAACGCGCACCGGCTCCTAAAAAGGCACGTGCAATACCAACCACTCCTTCGACTTTGATATTTCCTCGCCCACTGTTGCAGCAGCTTAAGACAACAAGCTTGGCGCGCACTTTTGCATCCAACACATCTGCCATCGTCAAAAGAAAGTCTTTCTCTTTAGGTCTTTTGGCACTACTAGAAAAATTAGGAGACAAAATGATTTCTCCGGTTTCTGTACGACCATGAGCTGCTATGTGCACTAACGAAACCGAGTTGAGCCCGCTTAAAACCCGATCTTTTGTGGCGTTCTTTCCGGTGAGAGGCTCGATGTTTAGAATTTGCCCAATCACTTTTACCTCTTCCTCAGCACCTGGAAGCTGCGGAAACGGTTTGCAGCCTTTGATGCGTACAGTTTCCACCCACGGATTGCCAACAAGTAGAGCCTCGGATGAACTATGGCGGTCCTCCGGACATTCTGCCAGCAGCCATAAGCTTGTCAGTGATGGAATCAATCTAATTCTACGCGTTTCATTTAAATACATGGAGTTTTGGTCCACGAGGGCAGCATAAGGAATCAAGAACGATGAACCGTCAGGGACAATGACGAGTTCGTCACCTATCGAGTGTGAAATTGGAGCGATGAATATGTCGTATAATACTTTTAAAGCACCACCCTGGTCTTCGATCTCTCTCTGCAGCTGGGGGCGAATCTTTTTCCACAGGCTTTTGTTCACACCAATCTGTTTGTATGTTTGGTAAGTCATTGATGTCAAGTCATCACTGCTAACTTCCTGTTGCACAAAGTCACAAAGCTTTCCCCACTTTAACAGCATCCAGATATTCACTGACTGGGTATCGTTCATTAGAAATAACGTGGGTGAGGAAATATGGTTTGAAATGATAAGTTCCATCTGCTGTTTCGGCTGTGAACGAATCGATTTCCTGACACCATATTGCGATTCCAAGAGGTCCATAAGAGCTTCTGCTCGTCCCCTCTCAGCTGTTAAAAGCGCCTCGAGTGTCTTACGTTCACTGCGTTGCTGTAACTGTAGTCTAACTAAACGACTAACGCAATCACGTTCATTCCGAAAGCTGATTTTCCACTCGTCGTTTCCTTCCAGAAGGACTCTCATTTCCTCTACCAGTTCAATACAGGATTTAAAACACTCCTCGGCTTTGGAGTACTCGTCAAGACACCAAAGAACTTGAGCAAGTCTATCATATCCGCATTGTTCAACATCTTTGTTTCCAGTCTCCTTTGCTATACTTGTGGCTAGCTGACAAAATTCCATCGCTCTTTTGGAATTACCGAGACGCTTATAGACATCGCCGAGGTTTATATATGTAGGTCCCCCTCCATTTTTCATCCCAATATCTTTTTGGATTCTTAGACTCAGCTCATAAAGCTCGATCGCTTTATTAAAATCACCGAGAGACTGATTTACGACGCCAAGGCTGTTATATACAGCTGCTTCTTGATATTTGTTTTCAGTATCTTTTGCGATTCTTAGAGCCAGCTGATTAAACTCCATTGCTTTTTGGAACTCACTGAGAGACTGATAGGCATTGCCAAGGTTGTTATATATAGTTCCTTCTCCATCTTTGTTTCCAGTAAGTTTTGCGATTTTTAGAGCCAGCTGATAAAACTCGATTGCTTTTTTAAACTCACTGAGAGACTCATAGGCACTGCCAAGGTTGTTATATCTAGTTCCTTCTCCATCTTTGTTTCCAGTATCTTTTGCGATTTTTAGAGCCAGCTGATAAAACTCGATTGCTTTTTTGAACTCACTGAGAGACTGATAGGCACTGCCAAGGTTGTTATATATAGTTCCTTCTTGATCTTTGTTTCCAGTATCTTTTGCGATTTTTAGAGCCAGCTGATAAAACTCGATTGCTTTTTTGAATTCACTGAGAGAGTCATAGGCACTGCCAAGGTTGTTATATCTAGTTCCTTCTTGATCTTTGTTTCCAGTATCTTTTGCGATTTTTAGAGCCAGCTGATAAAACTCGATTGCTTTTTTGAACTCACTGAGAGACTGATAGGCACTGCCAAGGTTGTTATATATAGTTCCTTCTTGATCTTTGTTTCCAGTATCTTTTGCGATTTTTAGAGCCAGCTGATAAAACTCGATTGCTTTTTTGAACTCACTGAGAGACTCATAGGCACGGCCAAGGTTGTTATATATAGTTCCTTCTTGATCTTTGTTTCCAGTATCTTTTGCGATTTTTAGAGCCAGCTGATAAAACTCGATTGCTTTTTTGAACTCACTGAGAGACTCATAGGCACGGCCAAGGTTGTTATATATAGTTCCTTCTTGATCTTTGTTTCCAGTATCTTTTGCGATTTTTAGAGACAGCTGATAAAACTCGATTGCTTTTTTGAACTCACTGAGAGACTGATAGGCACTGCCAAGGTTGTTATATATAGTTCCTTCTTGATCTTTGTTTCCAGTATCTTTTGCGATTTTTAGAGCCAGCTGATAAAACTCGATTGCTTTTTTGAACTCACTGAGAGACTGATAGGCACTGCCAAGGTTGTTATATATAGTTCCTTCTTGATCTTTGTTTCCAGTATCTTTTGCGATTTTTAGAGCCAGCTGATAAAACTCGATTGCTTTTTTGAACTCACTGAGAGACTGATAGGCACTGCCAAGGTTGTTATATATAGTTCCTTCTTGATCTTTGTTTCCAGTATCTTTTGCGATTTTTAGAGCCAGCTGATTGAACTCGATTGCTTTTTTGAAATCACTCAGATGGTGATAGGCGAGGCCAAGGTTGCCAAGGCTAACTGTTTCTGGGTTTTTATTCCTGATCTCTCTGGCTTCATTCAAAGTCATCTCGAAGTAATCCCGGGCTATTTTAAAATCACCGCGTTTAAAGGCTTTTTCTCCAAGGTAATTACTGTACAACCAATTTGTTATGGAAGTTTGTTCGGGTTTTCCATGTTTGCCTTTACTTCCTGGGCATGCCTAGAAAAAAATGTAAAACAAACCCTCTTTTGAAGCAAGTTATGGTATAGAAGATGTTTTTAATGTAAAGTTATACCCTTTCTGAGGAAGAAAATAGCCCGCAAGATTTTTGTGGCAATCAACTCTCCTCTTGCGGATACCTCGATATTTCGGACGACCCCTGCTAACACAGCCAAATCCCCAGCAATACAAACTCCTGCTATTACTCGCTTGAGCCAGATTGTGGCTTTGAAATAAATTAGCTCATAATATAGCTTCGACAGCAAGTTTCTAGAGTATATATACTCAAGTATAGAAGTATTACCAATGAACTTTATTTCTTAAGCGGATAAATCTACAAGAGCTGATATTTGACCAATCCGCCTTGACTTTGGCGGCTCACGAAGTAAGCCAAAAGTCCATTTATTTTCGCGGCTTTAAAATTTATCGTACAGAGAATCAAAGGGCGTTTTATATTCAGCCAAAACTTTCGAAAATTTGGAAACAGCGGCAAATGGTATAGAGATTTTCCGGAAAAGTTTCTGGAAATACCGGAAGCTGTTGAATCAGTCCGAAATGGGAACCATTCAACCAAAAATTCTACCTGGAAATCCCGGGAGCAAAAATGAATGGAAAGAAATCTTCCGTTAAAAATTTTTCGAAAATTTGGGTATACCTCGCGAGGTTGTCCCTCGGTTTTGGAAGTTTTGAAAAATACTATTCCGTTTGCTACTGGAAGTTGCCGAAAATTCAAAGTGGACATTTTGGTTGAAGAGAAAGCGCCCAAAGTTTCTTTAAGAAAATTATTGTTCGGTCACTGTTTTTTTTTTCTAATAGTTATGAACTAATATTTACTTTAACTGGGCAATTCTGTAAAAAAGACATTAACTTCGATCAATAGCTCAAACCCTTGAAATATCATATGTGACTTTTGCAAGCTCCATCATCGGTTGAATCGAAATTAATTCGATGCAAGAAAGACGAACTAACCATTCACTGTAAATTAACCTCCGCCAAAAAGGAACAAATAGTGGTATTCGGCTGTTGAATCTCTTCTATTAGAATCAACCATGTAATATCAGTAATATCAAAGGTCACTTCGACCGCTTAATCAAAACAATTCAAAATGCTATTTTATAGAAATAAAAAAAAATACCTCGTTTTCCACGGCTCTTCTACTCGTCGCTTTTTTCCTTAGTTCAAGCAACGTGGTGTTTTCTTCGTCGATCTTCAAAATTGTTAAGGTGTAAATAGTAATTTCGAAATTAAGTTGAAGTAAAGTATACTTGCCATAGGTTGAATATAACTATAAGAGCGTTACCCCTTATGAGCAGCCTAAAGTTAAAAACAAAAAAAATACGGTCAAACCTGCATATAGAGGCCCTGTATATAGCGGTCACCCAGTATACTACGACTACTGGACAACTCTCCGAATATATTGTCATATATGTTCTGTAAGTTGATCTGTTTAAAACGGTCTCCTCTCTATAACGGATGCGGTCACCCTTTAGACTCCCAAACACAATTCGATTATATTTTTTACCTTTTTATAACGGTCCACAAATTGGATTACGATCAAATAAAGGATAAAATTCAAGATGTGTGCTCCAAAGTAGACGGAAAAATGAATGCTAGCAAAATCGTCGAATCAGTTAACCTTTTCATGGCAATCGAATGGGGGACCTACAAGCGTTGAACGAACTCAATATCCAGTTGAATTTAAAGGAAACCTATATATATATATATATATATATATATATATAGCGGTCACCCATTTCTCAAGGCTGAAAGTTATATATAGGTTTGACTGTACGCAGAATTTTTCCTGCAACATGGTTATAAAGAGGGGATAATCCTCTCTTGTTAATATTGAAACGCTAACAAGACTAATATTGTTGACACTGTTATTGCTACACAAACCTTTTAAAAACTAACTTTTATTAGAAATTCCACTTTTTCTGTGCTTTTGTGGTCGCTTTTGAACAGACAAAGAAATAGAGAAAAATATCGCGTACTGTTGTGTAATTCGTACTGAAGAAGTTTAGATAACTAAGCACCGCCCTCAAATAAGCACTGAACCGTTAGTCAAGAAAAATGGTAGACAAATCGTAACGGAAATGTATACAACAAGTTGCGAAAATAAACCATTTTTCAGCTATGGAAGAATGTAAAGAGTAAAAGGATACTGCTAATCCTTGATCACACCAAGTGATCACCAGCTCAAACAGTTTTAACTTCTCGAACGCTTTCGCCCCTAAAATCGTAAAAATAAAGCATGTTGAAAACATTTTTTATGTCTTGCTCCCTTCCTACCTGCCATTTCTCAAAATTTCTCATTTGTCGGAGTTCTTATAGTGTATTAGTATCTTTGTATGTCTGTCGCTGTGTGATGAACCAGAAGCATATAATCCTTCAGGATAAGTTTTCTATAGCGATAAGGATAGACTCAGTTGTGCGCAACTTTCGCATTTTAAGCGGTCATTTTGCTACTTTTATCATTTTCATGTACAGCAACACCCAATTTCCGGACAATTTCAAACAATAAGCCACTCTAAAATTAGGCTTAAATGGGTACATTC